AAAATTGGAAAAATATCTGCAAAAGACTCAAGCAAGACCCACACCTCACTCCATACACAAAAACCAACTCAAGGTGTATCATGGACCTAGGACTAAAACCAAGGACTATGAAATTCATTACAGAAAAGCTAGGAACATAGGGTTTTCAGAGGCTTGCTATTTCAGAAGTGGGTGGCCAATCCTTCTTCCTAGTCTGTCTTAATCTGAATGTTCAGATTTAGAGAAATATCTGACAGACAAGCAATTTGTGGAAACACAGAATGAGTTCTTCCTTCTTTATTCTCCAATGCCAGCTCTTTGACCCCACCCCTAGCCCAGTGCCTTGACCCACTTACTTCCCAGCTCCACCCTCCACCAGGATAACCCTTCACATCTGCCAAGTCCCTTCAGAAAATATCTTCCATTGTCCAACCCATGATCTGACAGTTTGTATCTTAAGCTTTCTTGGCTTCATTGATTCCAAACACGTCAACTGCTGACATTTTGTACTGAACAAATTGTTAGAGAAACTGGGCTCTATGAAGAAAAAGAATGTGACATCCGAATTAGAGGAAACTAATCAACACCCTGCTATGCACATGACACAGCCTTTTTTGCTGAAACTGAAGAGGACCTAAATCACTTGCTGCAAAAGGTCAGGGACCATAGGCACAGATTACATCTCAACATCCAGAAAACAGAGATCCTCATCCCTAGACTGATAGGCAACATCATGATGGAAAGAGAAAGGGTTGAAACTGTCAATAGCTTCATCTTGCTTGGTTCCACAATCAACACCCTTAGCACCAGTAGTCTGTAAATAAGGATATGTATTGCACTGGAAAAGTAGGCCATCAGGGACCTCTCCAAATTATTGAGGAGAAATGATGTCAGTTTGAGGACTAAGGTATTTGTCTTTCTGATTACTTCCTATACATCTGAAAGCCAGACAATAACTAATGATGACAGAAGAACTACTGATGCCTTTGAGCTGTGGTGTTAGAGAAGAGAATATGCCATGGACGGCCAAAAGAACAAACAGATATGTCTTGGAGAGGGTGCAGCCGGGGTGCTTCTTAGAGGCAAGGATAATAAAGCTTTGTCTTTTACACATTGGGCATGTTGCTAGGCGCCCAGCCCTTAAAAGGGCACATGCTTGGAAAGCGGTAGGGTCAAGAAAAGAGAGGAAGACTCTCAATGAGATGGGTTGACACAGTGACTGCAGCAATGGGCTCAAGTCTATCAGACATGATGAAGATGGCACAGGATAGGTCACGGTTTTGACCTGTTGTTCAAAGGCTTACCAGTAGTTGTAGTCTACTTGATGCCACATGACAACAATAAGAATAAAACTTCTGCTATTTCTACTCCAAACTCTGGTAGCCTAGTGGGTAAGGAACTGCACTTGCCAACTCAAAGGTAGGTGCTTCAAATCTACTAATTGCTTTCAAGGAGAAAGATGGGCATTCTCTTTCCATGTGACTAACAGCCCCTGAAAACCTGTGGAAGGGTCATCTAAGAGACAGTAGTGACTCGATGGCACACAACAATCCATCTACCGACTTGTCTGCACTGCACAGTAGAATCATGGTCTGCCAGGAGCAGGAGCGCTAGACCACTAAGACAGAAGCTGGGTTTGCTGTGAGGCCTGCTTGGTTTGTGTGGAATTGGGGAGGGGCCCATGAGGGTATTGGTGGCACTGGGTATAGGTAAGCCTGACCCTCCCAGATCCATTTCCTGTTTCCAGACTGGGTACTGCCTGCAAGGGGTCTGAGCAGTCACACTTACTCGCCTGACCTCAGGGTTAGGAGCTATACTGAGGTGAAAGAGCTGAAAAGATTTCAAAAGGCCGTTCGGGAAGACAAAATAAAGTATTATAACGGAAAGGGCAAAGAGCTGGCATTGGAGAATAAAGAAGGAAGAACTCATTCTGTGTTTCCCAGGCCTAGAGAACTGAAAAGTAATTGAAGCCACAAGTTGCAATATTGAAAGATGCTATGGGCAACATGTTGAATGACCCAGGAATCATCAAAATAAGATGGAGGAAAATGGGCAATAATGTATGGATGGAAATCTAAAAGTCTCTGTTAACTTTCATTAAAAGGGAAAAAAAATAAAGATGCAGGGAATACACAGAGTCACTGTGCCAAAAATTATTGACAGGCTGCAAAATTTCAGGATGTACCATCCATGTTACACAGTCAATTGGACAAGAGGCTTGGATGCTCCCAGAAGGTCCTGTGGGCCTGGGAGACAGGCAGCTGCCAGACCTAGAGGCAGAGTCTGTGATGTGATGAAAACATGGGAAACTGCTCACTGCAGACAACACGAAGGTCTGAGTGATCCTAACAGCACCTGTTTCCCTCCATGCTCACATTGTGGCAGCAGGTGTGAAACTGTCCCTGAAAGCTAGACAAAAGAAGTGAAGCACGCTGTGAAACACAACACTCCACACCCACACTGGGTGTCACTCCTCTCTGGTATGGATATGGCCGGAATCATGATCGTCTGGGGCTGGGACCCTGTTTGGAATGCAACGCTTCCTTTCTTGTATGAATGCCCTCATCTTGGGAGAAGGCAGCCACTCATTCAATGTCATTCAACTTGCTGCAAACTCATGTTGTTGTGTGTCCTCAAGTTGTGTGTGACTCACAGCAACCCTATAGGGACCTGCTTTGGGGCTTCCAAAGCTGTAAATTTTGATGGGAGGACAGTAGCCATCTTTTTCTTTGAGTTGCTGCTGGATTCAAACCAATGTAGACACCTGGCCTCAAGGTTAGCAGTGCAGCTCAGGACAGGCTGATGTGATCAAGAGAGGAGAAGAGACACAGAGGCTATTTGGGGGTTAAAGGGAGTATGGTGGGGATGTCATGTGGGAACGCATCTACAAGCTAAGAGTTCCTGGACTAGGGCAAGGAAGGGACTCCGTTAACCAAAAGGTCAGCAGTTCAAACCAACAAGCTTCTCCATAGAGGAAAGAAGTGACACTTGGCTTCAGTAATTATTCACAGCCCTGGAAACCCAAATGGAGCCATGGGAGTGGCTTGACCTGGACCCCATCCTATAGGAAGCTACACCTTCATTCTGCTCAGCCTTGGGAATGAGCCTGGAGCTCCTTCACTTGGGAACACCGGCTCCATCAGGTTCCACCACAGCTCCAAGCTTAGGGAGCCATTGCAGCAACCCTCAACTGGGCAATGTCTTGAGACAAAGCTGTTCAGAAATGTGTGTAGAGCCCTAGCACCAATTCCAGATCTGGCAGTGTTGGGCTCCCAAAGTCCCCAGTCCTTACCTGCTGGAGGGACCCTCCAGTTCCAGAAGTGCTCTGGGTCCTTGGGGACTGCTTGGCTCCTTTGGGCTGCAGGCCTCATCAGGCTGCACGCTGGAGGCAGCCGGGTGGTCTCCTTGGCCCTCTGTTGGGGCTGTGGGCTGCTCCTGCTGTGTCTCTCCAGCCTTGGGGGCCACTTTTTGGTCTCCGTATCCCAAAAAGGTGCTAGGAAGGACAAACACTGTTAGGAAACAAGTGTCAGGGGGCCTTACTTCTCCATTGCATGCTGTCACCTCCCAGCTAGATCCCAGAGGGCCAAGTTCCTGGGGGTGAGGGAAATCAGGCAAGATGTGTGTTTGGCTTGTATCCTTTCTAAATACTCTTCACTCTGTATGCCGAACAGATCAGCTGAGAAGCTGGACTGTATGAAGAAGAAAGTGGTATTATGATTGGAAGAAGACACTTCAGCAGTGTATGTTATACAGACCACACAACTTTGTTGGGCAGAAAATGACTTGAGGCACTTAGTGCAGAAGACTAAAGAATGTCGCCTTCAAGATGGATTGTATTTCCGTATCAAGAAAATAAAAATCCTCATCTCTGGGCCAATAGATGACAGGTGGAGAAAGACGGACGTCGTCAGTGATTTAATCTTACTTAGATCCACAATCTGCATCCTTGGTCCCGGCAGCCAAGAAATCAAGAGCTGTGTTGTTGCGCTGGGGAAATGTCCTGTCACAGGGAGCAGTGACGGTAGCATAGATCCAAGCCATGGCATTTTCACGGTACTGCTTTTCCACAACTGAGTGCGGAAAGAAGCCCTCGCGTGCAGTAATCCGCGACGCCCAAGGTCCCTTTAAAGAAAGGCAGCCATTGGCCGAGGCGGGGCCAGGGCGGGCCTAGGCTCGGGCCGGGCTATTTGTGATCCTGGCGCGCCATCTGGCGACCAGCGAGCGGGGACGCGACTGCAGGACAAGGGCCGCCAAGACCGTAGCGGCCGAGGACGGCCATTTCACCGCACTGACCATCACGTTTCCCGGCGACCACCGCGCCCAGCCTGCGGCTGCGGAAATGGCGATGCGCGCAGGCGCGCACACGACGGCCACGGCGGGCGGAAGCCATGCGGCGCGCGCAGGCGCACAGCGTTCGGGCGAGTCTTCAGGGTGCGCAGGCGCACGCGGACTGAGCGGCCGTTACCAGCCGGTGTGAGCCGGACGGACCCGGGAGCCGGCAACCGGACAACTCGCGCGCAGGCGCACACGCGAGGCGCAGGAGCTCGAACCTCCCCGCGCGCGCAGGCGCGCCTGCAGTGAACCTGACCACACCCCCATTGTGGACTGTGGTGTGTCCATATAGCACCATCCCTGATCTTCAACACTGGCACTATCCAATTCTTGACAAAAAAGTCATCATATGTTGTCACATATCCCCAACCCTGGTCTAGAGCATCAGCTGACCTGAACTGGACCCAGTAATAAACTTGTTTGCCATCGAGTCTGGTTTTCAGAGGCCGGAAATCGCAAACGAGGACATTTGCCCTTCTTTCACCCACGGAGCACCTAGTGAATTCGTACCACGTGCCTTTTCGGTTGGCAGCTCAACAAGAATAAATTTGGGTTGTGAAAAAATAATGTCTAGCCCTGAAGAATTAAGTCATAATCTGGTCTGGGGCTCAAGATATTCCTTTTTTCCTTTCCTTTAAAATTATTTCCCTGAATGATTCTCAAATGTAGACAGGATTTTAAAAACCTGTGACTAAGGAAGTTTGCATTGATTTTACAAACTTTTAAACATTAGTAGAAAGTACTTAGGAGCTTGGGTTCTGGAGCTGGCCAGTTGTGTGCTCTCACTCGGAATGCATCCCTCTGCTTGCCCTTGGTCCTTCCATGAGTGCCTGGGATAGACCAACAACCACTCATCATATAAGTTCATACTGAACATGAATGTTAAAACTCAAAATACTCTCTTGGCCATATCACTGCTGTTGAATTTAGAGACCATCTCAAGAGTAGATTCGATGCAGTGAGTACTATTGATTGAAGACCTGACTTCTTCTTGTGGGAGAACATCAAGGATATGAAAAAGCAAAAGGTCACTTTGAAAAAAACGTGAGAAACAAAAGGCTAAAATAGACGTCAGAATGCATGATGACAATTTCCCTTCAATGTAGAGAGCTAAAATTAAAGGGAGACATGATGAGAGCTGAACAGAAGATTTCAAAGTGCAGGTAGAGAAGACAAAGAAAAGTATTGAAATGTCAAAAGATATTGAGAAGACATTTCTCAAGCTCAAAGAACTGAAGAAAAAAAAATTCAAGCGACAAATTCAAATACTAAAGGATAAACCATGTAGATTTGGAGAGACTGATCTCAAGGAAAAGACTTGTGGCTCACAAGTCCAAAGTCAATAGGTCTGACGTCAGGACAGAGGCTGCTGGAAAGGCCAACAAACGCAAGCCCAGCAACTCTAAAGGCAGGCTACTGGCTGCAGAGACTAACAAATCCAAGATCATCAGGAAATATGGCTCAGATGGCTCAAGTCCAAAGAATCAGAGGTGTCATGCCAAATGCAGGATCCAGATTGAGCAAAAGCTACTTAGCTTTCCCATTTGCATATTCGAATCCACCAGAGACTTCCCCTATATTAGAGAGGAGGTGTGGCCAGATTAAGGGTTTTGATCCTATTAGGTCAGGGCTGATCATATCTGACCACAGCCTGAGGAATAATGACAAAATTATTTGACTATGACATCACTTCTTTGTTGTTGTTAGGTGCTGTGAGTCGTAGACAACTCATAGTGACCCTATGAACGAAAGGCCTGAGCACTGTTTGTACATAGAGTTTCCAGAGGCAAGCCATTTCGGAAGTGGATGCCACTCCTGCTTCCAGATCACTTTTTTACTGAATGTTCCGTGTCCTCCAGACCTGCAGAGTAAGCGCCCTGTCCATCAGCCAGGCCAGTGGAGGTGAGAAGCATGCTGGGGCTGAAGAAGGAACAGACAGGCCTGCTGATGCCGCCCCACAATGGGGCTGGGGGTCCGCCCTTCCCCACAGGGAACAGGAGATGACTTATGTCTGTAAGTAAAGGCCAGCCACTCGTGTATATGGTGAAGTCACCTGAGTCCTAACCAACCCACAGTCCTGGGGATATTTCTGGATTTCCATGACAGCCTCCTCACTGACCTACTTCCAAGGCCCCTGTGTGTGGCTAGAAGACTGGCTGTGTCAAGGCCAAGTTTCCTCAGATTGACAAAATGGCCACTCCAGACAGGGAGCAACATGGGTTAGTGGGTGACAGGACAGAGACTTGGCCTTGACACTCTGGAGTGCTCTCCCCAAGTTCCTTCCCAGCATGGGCTCAGCCTCCTAAGGCTACTGGCCCCTGGGGGTCCTCACCACCCCTGCTGGGTGGGCCCCTGCCAGCCAGGGCCCTGCCCCACCATCTCCTAATGGGAAGAGCCCCGAGGCTGTGTCTGTAGTAGACAGAAGTACACTCTGCTGCTTGCCATAGTGATGTACTTACTTCATCTCTCTGCACCACTGTTCTGGTTTGAACCAAGAATGGAGAAAAGCACTTCTGGCAGTTTACATTACCTCACTCTTACCTGGTGGCCGTGAGTCCAAGGGTGTGATTCGGAGAGCTGGCCCTGTGCACACACTGGTTGTCCAGCAGAGGGGTGAAGGGAGCAGCTGGCAACAGCCTGTGGGAGATGACAGGACTGGCTCAGAACACTGTCAACTGTCTTATCACACTGCCATCAACAAGTTTCCATTTTTTGCCTCCATCAAAGATTCTGCTTCTAGGTAGGGCTGACATGTCTCTCTCCCAACCCCAAAGCCTCTTTCAAGATTCCAGGTAAGCATGGGTTTCTGTGTGCATCCTTCCTCGTTTGCACTGAACAACTTCCATGTTCTTTTCACATTAAAGATATGGTGACAAGAAAATAAAGATATGGTGATGGCTAGACAGCAAAGAAGCCTGTGTTCACCTGGCTGCCTGGGTCCTTGGCCACAACGCTCACCGAGCTTATGGTTAAGCAGAGACTCATGGAAGTCAATGTCCATAGTTCAAAGCAAGGCTACTCATGTCCTGACTGTGGAACTTTGTGCAACTTATGTCATCTCTGTGCCTCTGTTTTGTTTCTAAGAAAGACTGGGAAAAAGTCCTTCTACAGTTTACATTCCAGCCTATTTCCATGACCATTCATCTATGGAAGATAAAAGTGAGCAACACTGTTAACCAAAAGGCACAACCTTTGAATCCACCAGCTTTTCTGCAGGAGAAGGATGGGCAATCCCCTCCTGTGACGACTGCCTCGTGAAAACCCACTGGAGGGTCCGTTCCGACCGCTCCAGGTCACCATGAGACAGTTGACTCCACAACAACGGGTTTGTGGTTTTGGGAATTCCTGGCACTGTCTTTAGAGATTGTTCTATTCATGCTAATATATGGTCAAACCAAAAGGGAAAGAGAACGAAACGTGAAGACTGTGAGAGTGGAGTTACCTGGGGAAAAAGCGTTTCACAAGGCTAACCTGAGGACAGCGAGCCAAGCTGTGACATCAGGAAGCTAGGATGTGGGGTCTCCGTTTCATTGTTTGTTAAATGGGGATGGTGACTGTGCCCATCAAGCACAGAGGAATGCCTGGGAATCAGACTGGGCCCAGCGTTCCTGGTTTTTCTTCTGAGCCTTTGGAAGCTGTGTTAATCTACCTGCTTGAGGGTTTTCTTCTCTTTAGCCATCCTTCCACCTTCCCAAGCATGATGTCCCCTTCCAAGGAATCACCTCTCCTAGCAACATGCCAGCCTTGACTCCAAGGAGCACTCTGCCTGCACCCTCTCCAAGACATTATCTGAGAATTCCGATTTTTAAAAAAGAATCTTTCACAGATCTATCTTAAAATACAGTACTGTGACTGCTAATACAATCCACACACATACAAGGAAGACTACCAGCTACTAAAGCCAAAAATAAAGAATCTGGGGATCGCTTCCAACTTTTGCTGTCTGAAACTGACAAAAATTCAATCGAGATGCACTAATATTAACTGGTAACTGGAAGACAAAAATTGGAATTGGAAGCGAAGGATGACTGGTAGTTGGAAAATATGGCCTCAGTGGTGAAATGAGATAAGAGATCTAATGATTGATGATAGAATTTGTATAACCAATGACTTATTATTGCAAATGCCTTTTTTAAAAAAACACAATCAGAAATTTTTACATGTGGACCTCAACTGATGGACTACACAGGAAACAGACTGACTACCTTTGTGGAAAGAGTCAATGAAGAAGGCTCCAGGAATTGAGGGAGATCCAGCAAACAGAGGCAGCCCCGGATGTGCTCACCAACAACTGATGCCAGTGCATTTGGAAGACAGCCACCTGGCCAGCTTACTGGAAGAGATCTGTTTTTGTTCCCATTAAAGACAAAAGATGTGATCCCCAGACTGTACAAATTATCAAGCAACACCTCCCAAAAAATGGCTGGAACAGCACATCTACAGGGAACTGCCAGAAGTGCAAGCTGCATTTAGAAGAGGCTGTGGCACCAGGGAGATCATTACTGATGTGAGATGCATCCTGGCTGAAAGAAAAAAGTACCAGAAGAATGTGTATTGGTGCTTTAGTGACTAGGCGGAGGCATTTGACTGTGTGGGTCATTACAAGCTGTGGCTGACACTGAGAAGAATGGGAATCCCAGAGCACTTCACTGTGCTCACGCAAAGTTGTCTGTGCCAAGACCAAGAAGCAAATGTCTAAACTGAGCAAGGCAACACTGCTGGCTCCTATGTAGCTGAAAGTTGGACAATGGTGCTGGGGCCTGCTCTGTCCTGTGGGCTAGGTCTCCTGGAGTGAGGTCAGGCCTCCATTTTGTTTATAGTTAAAGTTATCGAGAGAAAGGGCTTTCGCAGGAAGCAGGGGGGCCTCCCAGGGATGCCCTGTGCAGCCAAGCCATAGCGGGCACAGGCTGCCTGGCTGCAGACACTGACTTGGCCACCTCTCACTTGCTCCTCTCACAATATGGAATGGAGTTATTTGTGCCAACCACTGCATACATGACATCTGTCCCCAAAGATGACTCTTGCTTGGAATGGAACCATCTGAAGAGAGGTTGGACTGTGCCACCACTCAAGTGACCTTGAAAGTGGCTCCTATCTGACTCCAGGACCAGGAAGCATGAAGAAGGAAGGTACAGACTCACACACCACACTTGCACTCTGTGTGCAGATTGTCCCTCCACTTGGCACCCACACATCCCTCACCGCGGTCCCAACTGTGAACGGGTGCTTGTCTGGGGAAGCCTGTTTTGAAGTCCTAGACACCTTCAGCAATAGTGAGTCTTTGTTGTGTGGCGTCCATCCTGAACTGACCCACAGCTGCTCCTCCTGCAGATTCTCAAGGCTGTAAATCACATGGTAGGGCAATTCCCATCTTTCTTCCTTGAAGCAACTGGTGGATTTGAACCAGCTGGCTTTGAGTTGGCAGAACAACTCCTTACCTACTATTGTTGCTAGGTGCTATCAAGACAAGTACAAGTCATAGCAATCCTACAAACAGCCAAGCTGAAGCCTGCCTTATATCATCTTTGATACACTATTTCATTGGAAGTCTGCCTTTCTTTTGCTGATTCTCCATCTTTCCAAGCATGATGTCCTTCTCCAACAGCCTTGCCTAACTACATGTCCAAAGTGGCCTTACCTACCAGGCCACCATAATTTAATGGCATAAAAACAAGCCTGCAGAATTACAAGTAGGATTTTCAGTAGAAGTAATGTTGCTCTCAGCCCAAGTAATATTTGATTAATCTCAACAGAGTCCTTTGTCAAAACCTCATCTCTGCAGGAGCAAACTTCTCTACAAATCCATCATTATCATTACCACTAGACAAAAATCATCATCACTACTGGTCAAAATTCTAAAATTCTAACTTCTTGATGTTGAGCTGGAACTGACTCGTATCTGACCCTCTGGCAGGTTTTTAGGGGGTTGATCCAGGTCATACGGTATTCGCAATTACTGCTATGCTGGAAGGAGCACTGATGAGCTGTGGTGCTGGAGAGAGTGCTGAATATACCACGGACGGCTAGGAGGACGAACAGGATCATCCTGGAGAGGGGGAAGCCAGGCTGCTCCTTGGAGGCAAGGATGCTGAAGCTTCATCTGACATAGTTTGGACATGCTGCAAGGAGGGACCAGTCCTTGGAGAGGGTCATTATGCTTGGAGGGTGGAGGGATGGTGCAGGAGAGGAAGGCCCTCTATGAGGTGGACTGAATCAGACACTGGGGTAATGGGGGATAGGTGTGTTGGAGACAGTGAGATTGGCACAGGACAGAGCAGTTTTTAGGGCTATTGTACACAGAGTCACTATGAGTCGCAGGTGACTTGACAGCACATAACACCACCACAAATAACAAAGAGGAGATTGCCCACATTTCTCCCTTGGATTCAAATTGCCGGAGAGGTGGATCTCTTGGGTTAGCAGTGCGGCAACTTATGGATTTATGCCACCAGAGATCCCTAATCATTGACAGCACTACCCACAAACCCCTCATCCTCCCTTTGGCTCGTGCACAAAGAAATGGGAGGGACACTGAAGGGCTGGTGATCAGGGAGCGGCCGCGGCAGGGGGTGCCTGCCCCCGGCCCGGACCTGTTTGTTACCTGTCTGCAGGGCCTTGGGCTGCTGTTCCCAGGTGGCCATCACCCAGCTGTGCTTCACACCTGTAGTCCAAAGACCCACTCTGTCAGCAAATGTTCCTACATTTCCCCAAATCTGATGGGCTGAGGGTCACAGAGGAGCCAAGATGTAACAGGACAGAGTTGGCGGATGGCCAGAGGCAGGGGCCTGTCATATGGGGCAGCTGTGTACGCAGAGCCCTGGGTAGGGGACGAGGTGTCCCTGGGCATCTTTTTCCTCAGCCCCCACCAGAGAGCATGAGCATTCCAGGGCCACTGGCTGCCAAACCTGCCCTGTCACCACCATAGAAGTCCATTTGTCTTCTCTAAAGCCTACCGCAAAGGTATGGATGGAACCACAGTCCTCAAAAAAAAAGCCAAAGGCCTCACACCTGTACTGATGGGGCAGGGACCCTAAGCTCAATCCCCTCTGAGAAATGTCTCATCCACAGAAACACATGGTGGGCAGGAGCAGAGGAGAGACCACCTGCCAACTCGTCTACAAGCCAGAAAGCAAGAAGCCACCTTAGCTCCCAGCAAGCGAGGCTCCTCCCCCAGAGGTGCTGGCCTATCTGGACTGCAGCATCCAGAGGTGAGACCACAAGCTGGCCCTCAGCGCTTCTCTGCGTATTTTGTTACTGCAACCCTGAGAGAAATGACGCCATCCTTTGTACACAGGTCATCCTTGCTCTATGGGACTCAAGTCAACTTCGTCCTTCCACCGACTGTTGGAATCTCAGGGGTTCCACTCTACCATGGCCACCTACAGGGCTGTTTCCAGTGGCACCCAGGCTTCTGGGGGTGGAAAGACTCAGGCAAGAACTGGGGCTGGGGCGTCCTTGCCCAGGAGCCGAGCGTGGGCTCTGGAGCCAGGCCTAGAGGCACCACATCTGCTGTGAGTTACCTTTCAGGGTCTGGGTCACTTGCCACGTCCTGTTTGCACTCATCAGGGCTGAGGACCTTGTTGCTGTGACCTGGGGGAGATCTGCAGAGGAGACCCACAAGGTTTAGCAGCATCAGTCACTCACACCTATCCCCAGATGGTTGTGCGCCCAGGGTCCTGACACCTGACAGTGGTGGGCTGGGTGAACCTCTCCTAGCTACCCCACTCTCACTTTCCAGATGAGTGAATTGAAGTCCAGAGAGTCCCAGGGACTCATCCCAGGCCCACGCGTAAGGCACTGACCTGAGGGATGTGGGTCATGCTCCCCCATGCAGCACCATCTTCCTCCCTCAGCACCACGGTGTGTGGATTCACTCCTGGCCTGACCCATCTGCCTCCTCCACCTGCCATGAGCCCCTCCTGCATGCCTAGGGGCCACCCTTCAAAGCTGGGGCCCAGGGCCAGGCCTGTGGCCTCACTCTGGTCAGACATTTGCTTTGGCACAGTTGTTGAGCAGATGTTGTGACAGGACCAGCCCCACGGCAACCTCACTTCCAACCCCACCCCGCCCCCACCCTGCTGACCCGAGGTCCTGGGAATGGGTGGGAGCGGCCAGGCCGGCTGCTGGGCTCCCAGACCTGGGGACTTCCAGCTCTGGAGTCACTGGATGAAGTACATCCTGGGGTGTCAGGTGGACATCCTCCCCTCCTCCCCTGAAGACCAAAGGAGAGAGCCAGTGAGGGGGTCATTCACGACTCTCACCCAAACCCAGTCAGTGCCACGCCAGCCGGCAGCACAAGCAGGTAGTGCTCTTTGCCTCACTTCCCCCGTGTTCCTAAATGTCGCCAGGAGGTGGCACTATTGACCTCTTTCTGTATCTGAAGCTTGGTTCTAGTTGCTGGTCGGCTGTGGGGATCTAGTGGTTAAGGGTGCCTCCAGCACATGGTCATGGCCATTCCCCCAGGCACCTCCCTCCAGGTGGCCTCATCCCTCTCCGTCTTCCCAGTGTTGAAGGCAGGCACTGGAAAGCTTGCCTTTTCCCAGAGGAGCCCTGGGTTATGCAGACAGTTAAGATGCTCAGCGGAGATGGGAGGTTTGAGTACCGATGGGTGCAGTTGTGCAGACGTACCCAGGGGTCAGAGGGACTTGGGGCCAACTCCACAACAACAGTCTGTTTTTAAGGGGACTTGTTTCCCTCAAGTCACATCTGGCATCACATCAGCCACTATGCTGCGTTAACACTACCTTGTAGAGAGAGCTCAAATCTCTCTACTTCTTCAAAAGGCAGGATGGCAGGAGGCCAGTGATCAGATATGCAGGCTGGATCATGGGAGGAGTGGGGAGGTAGGGCGGCCCCAGTCCTAGAGGCAACAGAGTTCTACCCCTGCCGCCTGGTCTGGTCTGCTGCTCAAATTAGGTGACAAGAGGCTTGGCATTGCCCTGGGTCCGTGTGGTCACCCAGAAGTGCCCTGTTAGGCCTGGCTCTCTTTTGGGAAGTTGGCATCATTCAATGTAAAGTACAGGACAGTATGAATTTGTGTGTCTGCTGGCTGGCTCAAAACAACCAGGTGCATGCTGGGCTCTTGGTCCTGCCTCTATCTGGGCTGTGAGCGTCTGGCTCCCAGACAGGAGGGAAGGGCTACAGCAGCCAGCTGAAGGTTGCCGACTTGAAGGCCAGTCAGAAGCAGGTCTTGGAAGGGCAGGCCCTCAGATGCTAGTAGGGTTAAGGTGACAGAAATCTGGATGAGAGCAGGGCAGCGTGAGGGCTCCCTAGAGGCCTGCCTGGTTGGCTTCTTCAACTGAGGACAGCCAGCCCAGAGGCCTTTACAGATTCTGGGCCCTATTGTGGAACAGGCACATGGGGACACTGACATAGCAGCCCAGCACGGAGGTAGGTGACCTGGACTGTGTAGCCAAGGTGAGGGAGGTTAGTGTTACCTGTTCAAGCCAGAAGTGGCTCCGGCCAGAGTGGGCGGGCTCTGGCCCTTCTCACCTTCCTCCACAATGTCCACCCTTGGGGCAAGAAGGGAAGTGCAGGTGATGCCACCCTGGAGCGTCTCAAATTCACATCTACCCAGGGACCTGTGACAGTGGCCTGATTTGGACCTAGTTAGGATGCAACTGTACTGGAGTGGAGGGGGCCTTGGTACCCTGAGGAGGGACCTGGCTGTCAGGGTCCCGCCAGCCACTAACAGAGGCTACAGGAGAAATCTGGACCAGATCCTCCCGAGGGGACCTCTGCATCCACAACAGGGAGACAAGGCACTTCTGTCATCAGATCCCTCCCACCACCCCTTGCTCCCTTCTTGCTTGGAGGTGTCCTGTCACTCCCACCCCTGTCCTCCCTCTCAGCAGCTGCCCTGCTGGTCTTCCTGGGGAACCTAGCCTGCGCACCTTTCTCTCACAGCGCACCTCCTGTTTGCCTGCCTCCCTCACTGTGTGAGGTGTCTGTGATGACAAGAGCTAGACAGAGGAGGGTGGGGCTCCCCAGGATAAGCCCCTCCAGGCGGCCATAGGGGAGCAAGGGAGAGCCTTGCACTCCATTAATCATGAAGGGTCTGATGATAGGGACATGGTCTCTAGAAAGTGCCACATGAGAAGCTTGCCTGGCCCGGTGCCACAGCCCACACGACAATGCTCCAGCTCAGACAGTACCTCCTCCCTGACCTAATACTTACCTCTTGGCGATGAATGGGGCCTGTGGCTCTGGGTTAGGGCTGCCGGGAGGGGACAGAAAGCGGATGTGTCAGGAAGTGGGGTCCAGCTGGTGGAAGAGCCGGGTCGCGCCTCCCACAGTCCCTCCCTACCTTGCAGTCTTTTTAGCTGCCGACAGGACATAGGAGTGCTCTCGGGAAGCTGTCCTCCTGAGCACATTGCTTGCGGCCTCGGACCTGAAGGAGGGCAGGGCATGTGGTGTTGGGGGCGCTGCTCTAGGCTAGTTCAGCCCAGGTGCCCCGAGAGAGCAGCTAGGATCATCCCCTGAGGTCAGGGTGTGCCCGTTCCCTTACAGCATGGGCCCTTCCAACCACAGTGGATGTTAGGACAGCGCCACCAGAGCTCAGAGCCTGTCCTCATTTTGACCACTGGGCGCAGGATCCCAGCCACGAGACACAACGTGGAGGGGAGGGAGGCTAGACAGAGGAGAGCGTGGCTTTGGAGAAACAGACTGCTCCAAGCGCACACACAGACCATGGCAGGGTGTTAAGGGGGTGCTGGGCGGTCAGCCTCCCCACACTGCTAGCCTGGTGGCTGGAGCCCCAGCTTGACCGGTAGGGCATCCAGCAAGCACTGTTACCTCCTTTTCTGCTCATCAGATGAGAAGGGAGTCTCGTCGCCCTCAGCTGCACCTGCTGAGCTCCGTCTGATATTGTAGGGTGCCCTGGGGGTAGTGGTAGAAGGCTTTACAATCCCCAGCCCACTCCTGGGGAGCAGTGACAGGAATGGATGATATAAAGATAGGGCTCTGTGGGAACCACAGGCATACAGGAGAGGAGGCCCCAGGGGAGCCTCCCATTCTCTGGGTATCCTGGGGTAGGAGTCCCGAACCATGGCTGCAGCTGGTGCAGGCCACCAACTCACAGCTTCTTGTAGTCCTCAGTGGTCAGCTTGTAGCTTGAGGATGAGGCCCGGGGAGGCCCGGTGCTGGCCACGCCCAGGGGACTGGAAGGGCTAGGAAGATGAGGTTCGTCATGTGGCCGCTGGCTGGCTACACTTGGGCCCAGCTGGACCAAGGCAGTTGGGCAAGGAGGTCTGGGACCTGTCCCCCTTGCTCTCAGACACCTAGGACCTGGTGAGCAGAGAAGCTGCCACCTGCCTGCCAGGCTCTCCTAGGTCTATCCCTGCTGATGGTGATGCCCAGGCCATAAGGAGATGCTGCCCCCGAAAGTGGGCTGCCGCCGGACTCCACTGTCCCTGTTCCTCATGAGATGGGGCCATCTCCCTGCTGGCTGTCCCCAACACACCTTTTAGGTGTCCCATTTGCCTTGGGGAAAAGTGGCTGGGACTGGGATGAGCTGTCGACCGGCTTGGTGAAGACACCCCTAGAAGAAAGTCCAGGATGACCGGGTGGTGAGCCAGAGGCGGCAGCAGGAATGGGAGGTAGGCAAGGTCTGCATTACCCACCTGATGATGTAGCCGGTGGAGGCCCGAGTGGTCAGAGGCCTGCAGAGGACAGAGAGGGGATGAGGGGAAGCAATGCTCGCCAGAGGACCCACCATCCCACTTGATCACACACAAGGGTCAGCCTGGTTAGAGTAGGTGTTGCTCTGAAGGTATTTACATGTGACTGACATTTAAATCCATAGGACACCCTCCATAATGTGGTGGGCCTTGTCCAATCAGTTGAAGGCCTTAAGGGCAAGAATGGAGGCGTCCAGGGAAGAAAAATTCTGCCTCCTCCAGACTGTTACACAGATACCCTGTCCAAATGCCTCTCCACCAACCTGACCTACACATTTGGCCACAGGGTGGCTGAATTGTCTCTCTGTCTCTCAATGGTCTTCTCTGACTTAACGGTAAGAGGTTGCACAATTTCTCCTGTATGATTTACAGTGCTTGAAAACCTGCTGGAGGGTCAGATATGACCATTTCTGACTCAACACCACACATCAACTACACACATGCAGTGTGGTGGGCCAGCAGGGGAGGCTACTGGCTCCATAGCTACACAGCCAGGCCGTGGCCTACACCTAGTCATCTTTTGCTTCCAAGGGGAAGGTCTGTCTCCTGGTTCCAGTGGAAAGTCGATTTTCGGACTGGTTCTCTAGGAGGGGAATTTCAAAATACTCCCTACTAAATCCTGTGATGGAAAATCTCACATGCCAACAGTAGGGCCAATCATAAAGCAGTGTCGTGTGCTTAAATCAGATTACGTTCCAGCATGTATATGTATGTATATATGATGTAATCACTTTCTCTAACCTTCTCTCATGCCAGTAGTCACTCAGTTGAGGTTGTGTCAGTGTAAATTGGATTCTAAATGATTTCTGAGTTGTAAGAAACCAGAATGCATAAATACACACAGAGGAAGCCAGCTATCATGAAGGTCTAGGACCACCAGACGAGGAAGGCCTGGCTGCAAACATGACAGACAGATTTTGTGTACAAAGGTCTGCCAACTTAGCATCCAGACTTCCTGTCCCTGCTCCTCCCCACTGCCAGGATGTCTATGGGGCTCACACCCCTAGGTACCTGCACCCCATGCCTTACCTGGTCTTCTGGACTTCCCCAGGGCATGAAAAGGAGGTGGCCCTGCTCCGGCCAGAGGGTAGTTCTCTGGAGAGAAAAGGGTCTAAAAGGTGTGGCCCCTCAAAGCTGCAGGCCAGGTCTCAAGCGGGGTCCTGGGAGCTCAGTGGAAGCTCACGAGCTTCAGGCCATACCTCTGTCATCCTCTGCACAGGCTCCCTGGCTCCCCTCCAAGGGCGCCCTAACCCCTGATCCTCCCTTGCCCCTTCCCAGCGCCCCTGCCCACTGCTGGCTGCGCCTCACATGGTCCGCCCCTCTGACTCGTCCTGCTTGATGATCCAGCTCTTGTCCCCCTTCAGTGTGGTCCGCACCTTCATCTGCCTGAGGACATTGTCTCGCTCCTCCTCCCCAGAGGGCAGGGCCTTTCCTGGCAGAGACGAACACCGGCTCCAGAGGGGTCCAGCCAGGGGCCCTGCCCCACCCTGCACTGTGCAGACACTCACCTCTGGGGTTGCTCATTGTGTCTTCTCAGCCCAGTCCTGTTTTGACAGCTTCAATGGCGCTCCTAAGGACAAAGTCAAGTGCAGCTTGTCATTTTAGGCACTTATGGTCATTTGACGGCCACCCAGAAAGCTCCATGGCTCCATCAAGGTCCCAGGCAGACTTCCTAGCACTTCCTAGTCTAGATTCTGGAGTATTGGTGCAGCAGAAAGTGGGCATTTTGGAGGACTCTGTGGTGGTCTTTTGTGGTGGTCTTTGAGGCCTTGGCAGCCCTGGCCCTCCCAGGGGTACCCAGAGGTCTGACCCTCCCTTGGCCGGCTGCTATGTGAGCCCTTCCCAGGGCTAGGCCCCAACAACCCCATCCAGTGACCAGTGGCAGGGCCTGGAAATATTTCCAAGGAGCTCAGGCTATGGGCATGAGAGTGAGAGCACACTGGCATATAGGGCAGGGGCCGCCCTCACGTCAAACCAACCAACCACTTTAGCTCATAAATGTCCCTGAGAGCAGCCTGGGAATGGCACCTCCTCATCACACACAGGAGGGCCTGGGCCAGTCCTAGCACGGGGGCCACAGGAGGGACTGTCCGCACCCCGGGAAGGGCTCTCAGGTGGTGCAGGCAGGCCAGATCCACCAACATGGAGCTCCCAGGACCTGGGAATGAGGCCCCCTCAGCCACCAAGCAATGATGAGACCACATGGGACCAGTGTCTGAGCCCTTCCCAGCTCCATGTCTCGCGACCCACGGCCACCTTCTCCAGCCCAGGGACCGCGACATCATCACACTCTAGATGTTTTCAGGTGAACCAGAAGGGCCGCGTTCAACTGCCCACCACCTCACTGGGCTCCACACTGCTCCCGGTCCCCCCTCCCCGCTCCAGGGCTGCCTTGGGGTCTGACTGCGCTCAAAGTGAAGGTATCTCCAGGGAGGAGTCTCAATGCCTGAAGAGTCAGGAGACCAGAACTCAGGCCTTTTCCCTGGGATCCCGAAGTGACATAGATGGGAGAGGTCATATCCTTCTGGAGACTTGAGTGACTCCATGAGAGAAGGTGAGGGAGCTGGATCCAGGCCTGGCATGAATGGTAAGGGGACAGGGGTGGTGCTGGGTGTGGGCGGGCCTCTCAGGTATACCACAAGGGATCTGGGGCACAAAGGAGTCAGGACTTGCCTGAATGCCTGCCTGCGGGGTGCATGCCACCTCTGTAGCGGCATTGGGTGTACCAGAAATGGGGACAGCGACAGACTGCTCCTTTCCCAGAACCAGAGAGCTGAGAGGAAGAGCGAAGTGCAGCCAGAGTTCTCCTCAGAGGCGAGGAGGGCGACATGGTCAGGAGGAACAAATCCTTGGAAAAAGATATACTGCTGAGAAAGGGGAAGGAGAAGGAGAGGAAGACCCCTGGCAAGTGTGCTGGAGCATAGCAGAGACAGTGGGTGGGAGCAGAAGGCAGCAGCACAACATTCTCTTATGCATGAGGTTAGCAGGAGTCAGACCAGGCTTCTCACACATAGTCAGGAAGTCCAAACTCTCTAGCTCTGCTCGCCCCCAAAGTTCGCTGGTTGCTCAGAGCCGCTATCGTCCAACTCCTGCCTCTGTCTCTACACAGTTGTCTTCCATGTGTGTCTTCATACAGGGAGACCAGTCATATCAGGGTCAAGTTCACTCTAAAACTGAGGATAAGTTATTCCTCAGAAAGGGACATCATGCTTAGAAAGGTGGAGGGTCAGTAGAGGAGAGGACGACCGCCAAGGAGATAGAATGGCACTGTGACCTCTGCTCTGGGCTCAACTGTGTCAGAGATGACGAGGACGACACAGGACAGGACAGGGTGCAGGGCAGCTCTTCGGAGGGCTGTGATAAGTCGTACTCGATGGCACATAACAACATCCAGTATGACCTCATCTTAGTTCTATCTTATTTGAAAGTTTTCAGGTCCTTGGTGGACATGAGTGTTCAAGGATCCTAATGAACCCATGACACTGGGTAATAGGGCCACCTGTCTCGTCCTCACAGGTTTCCTGAACAATTCCGAGTTGGGTTACACACGGTTGAGGCCCCAGGCTATCAGATGGCCAGGCTGTACCCCTGATTGGAGACCACCGCATTCCACCCCTTGTTGCCGACAAGACAATGAGAGCACTGGTGAACCTTTCCCCCTAGGGGCCCCTCCTAGTCTGTCTAACAGCTCCGCTCCATCTCTCTCCACCCCCCCCCAATGAATGTTCTCCCTGGAAAATAAACCTCCAGTGCCCCCAGGGCCTCTGAATGTCAGAGGTGGGCATCAGGAGTCTGAAGGGGGCTATGGAGAGGCTACTGGCACAGAGGTCTCAGGACTGGCCAGAGGGCCCCCTTTCATTGTCATTTCCGAGAGTAAGGGCTGAGATACGGAGGGCTTGGGCGTAGCCAGAGGGAGTGTGTCGCACCCTCCGTGTGACGACATACTAGGGTAATTCTTTACTTGGGTCTCTTTCCACTCACGTGCACAAGGTGTCACTAGGGCCCCATGCTGGTAAGATCTCCCCAGGACACAGGGATGAGCCCGCACACGTGCCACAGGCCCGGCTCCGGACACAGGAACAAGCCCACGCCTCTGGCCCACAGCAGGGTGCAGCATGGCTGTGAGAATAGGGGGATGTGCAAAGGCAGGTGGCATAACTCCCACCAGCCTGGAGGGCCCACCTAGCCCTGTCCCCAGGAAAGTCCTGTGGTGCAGCTAGGTTTGGCCTCAGCCAGCAGACAGGTGGCTTTTCTGTGGGCAGAAGCCAGAGAGGTCTCTGTCATTCAGAGAGGCTCTGTAGCACTCTAAGGGCAGGGACCCATCTGAGACTCAAGTCACCCCGTGAGCGGCTCAGCGTGCTGCTCCCAGGTGCCCTGGGCCACGCCCCTGTTACTGGGATGCCAGGGACAGCAGGAAGACCATGGTAACACTCTGTGTGGCAGGGAGGCCAACAGGGCAGTAGGAAGGAGGTGCACCACATGGAAAAGTGCTGGAGGAGATGTGGGGGAAAAAACGTAATATGGAAAAAGCGAGTGCGGAGGGTGTTTGTAAATGCACTTTACAGGTAAATGACTTTTGCATGAAAGTCTGGAATTCCATCTCCCTCCCACCCCCAATACTCCAGAATCTAGACTTCTCGGCATCAGTGCTGGAGGGGCCCTGAGAGGTTGCTGTCTTGAGGCGGGAAGGGAGGGGGTGTCCCAGCCACCCACCACTCCTGGGCCCCACACCCACCAATCTTCTGGCTCAACTTGTGGTAAAGTGAGTGCCAGGCAGTACTGGGCCCTCAGAGGCCTGCCTGCTGGGCAGGACTACAGTGCCTGCAACAGCTGGGCCAAGCAGACCTCTCATTCCAAACAGGTCCCTTGACAAAGGTGAGCTCTACTGTGCCATGGCAGGAGGCCTGTGTGACAGGGGGCCCTACTATAGGGCCAGGGTGGTTGTGAGCCACCACCCACATGCGCCTCCTTGGGTAGATATGGAAAGCACTCAGCAACCACCACCTCCCCACATTCTTACAGATGCATGCACACATGTGTACCTGCACACACACACATACAGACACTCCTGGAGTTGTATAAGTACCCACTATGCCTACATCCAAGCATAGGACCAGTGCCTGGAACCCACTCATCTGCCTACTTGCCCTGACATTGGTCAAAGTGAGCAAATCCCTTTTATCTCATCACAGGGAACAAGAAATGCCCTCCCCCCCCCCTTCGGCTCTCCTGCTCCAGCTCTGAACCTGATCGCCACTCCCTTTCCTCCTCTCTCCCCTCCCCTCCCACCTAGACTCTAACCTTACCTCTCCAATCTGCCCCCATTTGGGGTTAAGAACATGGAGGCCCAGAGAGGAGAAAGCAGTAGACCCCATTTCTGTGCACTGGACAAACGCATAGACTAAGTAAAGGAGCTGCCTGTGGTCAGGCCGAATGCTCACTCCCCCCAGTGAGGCACTTCCTTCCAGTCGAAAGCCTGAAGCGTGGGCTGATGGGAGAATTTTCCCTCAGGAGTGGAATGAACATTTGATGTTTTCTCTTTCTCCACAGCAATCCTCAGTCCTCCTGCTCTCTGAGAAATGGCCCTTGTCATTAGAAAGTGACCTGCCTCACGACTGGCCCCAGAGGCAAAGTCTCCCCCCAGCCTAGGGTGAGGGTCCAGAACTCTGCAGCCACTGTAGTCCCAGCAGCAGCTCCCAGGACGGCTCTGGGCTGACCTCCGCCCCTGGCTGGGAAGGCGGCTGCTCTAGCTGCCTCCTAGCTTCCCTGAGAACTTGTTAGTGGGCACAGGCCCAGGCAATGCCTTGGGAAGTAGCCTCTGCGTCTCTGGTATCCAAAGTCCTTCTCGCCCCACTCCTGCTCTCCCAGAATTCAATGTTGACGATGACACAGACCATCTACTGTGTGTTTTCGTCAGACTCATTTGCCAGTTCAGCTCCTACCTCTCTGTTGAACTGGTCCAAGGCCCTCTCTGGTCCTGTTTCCCCTGCTCAACTCAAGGACAGTTAGGAAACGTCAACATTACTTTGGTTATGTTGACCATCACTGAGACCATTACATTTCAGAAACATCTGAGAAGTTACCAACTTGCCCAGCTCCTCTGACCTAGTGATTGTCAGTCCAGGTGGCCACATGGGTCACCCGAGGCCTGAAGTACAGGGGACTCATTCATAGTCACTTGACTAATGTGTATCAGGGCCAGGACAAGAACTACTATAAAAGAAATACCACCAGTGTGTGGCTTTAGTAACAGACTTGACTCTCATACTCTAGGAGACTATCAGCTTTGGGGGAAGGTCCTTGCGTACTTCCTTGCCTTTTGGTGGAGGTTCTCAGCACAGAGGCCCCAGGAAATGGTTATATAATTATGCAATGGCCTCACTGACACACATGAACTGATGGAAGGGCAAGGTAAGCGTGGACCATCATAGAATAAATTATGTCTTCCAAAATATGTATCAACTTGCTAGGCCATGCTTGTCTTCCATTTTTTTTTTTAATATAAAACTATTTATTGACCACCA